GTGGATAGGGCAACAGCCTTCTTTAATGTTGCCTGCAGAGATTTGCTTCAAAGTGCAGAGTTGCAGGAAAATATGAGAAACTCTATTTGTCTCTCATAAAGGTATGTTTAAACCAGTGCAGGTTTTCCAATATCAGAGTAAGCTCAGTTTCATGGTTTGTGCAGTGCTGTGAAGTGTTGGAATAAATACTTGGAGCAGCACTTTTATCCCATCCTATTATAGACAGAAGCATCCTTAGAGGTATGTTTTCCTAAGGAGATTTCTATTCATGAAATCCTGGTGTTGTATGTGCCCTATCATTCAGGGTTCAAATAAACGTATTTCTTTTGAATTCTTGTGCACTATGGATTTAACTGTATATTCATTCATCATGAGTATGTTTGCCATCCATTCCTCCATTCCTCAGTATGGTTAAAACCTGTCCCATAGTCCAGGATTGTTGCAATGCATCCTATTCTATTTCTGCTATGGTTCACATGCTTATCCTACAATAGAGCATTCATCTTTTCATGAACACTGATGGTCATCTCTTTTGTAATTGTCACATCATCTCTTCTGTGCCACAGCCAGTAGATGCAAATATGTTTCCTTTCAGACCAAAGATGTTTCCCTGTGCTTTAAGACAAGGCTGATTCTATGGTGCTAGTTTTACCTGGGTTCCAATATCTTCACCATTCCCATTTGCAACAAGAATGGGGAAACTGCCTTTCTCTTGTGCAAGAGGCACTTACCTGTGACAAAAAGTATCCTATTCCATTCTTACATTCTGTAGCCAGAATTGTTTTGGTAAATACTGTGAGAATGCATAGGGTAGAAGCTTGCTAAAAACCAATGTGTTGCTGATCAGTTTGTGTTTAATCCATACTTGAAGAAATCTATCTAATGGGGAAATGCTTTTTCAGGTGCTTTATGCCTGAAATATTTTAATTGTTTTCCTTGTGCAGTGGCAATGGGAGGCATTTGAACTCCAGCATATACAACATGCAGAGGTATATAACAACACAAACATACATATCAGTTTGAAAACTCCAACAGTTTTCTTATATAGAACATATAGCTTCATCCCTTAAGCAGGATGTACATCTTGGATCATATTAGCTGAGGCATAAATACTATCCAAGCAACAAAATGAGACTCAGGTATTAAACATACATACGCATACATATGCACACACACACACAAACATGCAATACCTTTTTGTAATAAAGAGGCACATTGCACATCACAATAAGAAGATAAATCTACCTGGGCCTGGGTTACTTCCTTGGTGTCGTGTGTTAATGGAGCTTAATGTGTATTGTAGTTCAGAGTCTTGCTTTATGCTTGTCTAGTAAAATAGCTGTGGTGCAGATATGAGTGTATGGATATCCCATTGCCTCACTATTGCTGCAGGTGTTAAGATGTGGGCGCATCCCATCTTTTTTCTTTACTGCCCTTTCTGCTTCCAGCCATCCCAGTGCCAGATGTTGCTTCCTCTTATCCTTCTGTGCTCACGAAGCTGAACAGACTGCAGGAGAGCCAGCCATGAGGCTGCCCCAGATCCTTTGATGGCACGTGCATAATTGGACTGGACGTCTTGTCATCCCAGATCTCCCAAAGACAGAGTGTGCCTGCCACCCTCATTGTGAGCCTGACCCGCCTGCTACAAGAAGCACCACAGGAAGGGCACCAGCCCTCTCCTCTCTGCCACAAGTTTAGGGCACTCTGCTTGACGTAAGACTCATGCTTTAACCAGCTGGGCTTTACAGCTACAGTCCCTTCAAGTAGATTAAAATTAATGATAGTCCAGATTTTATTTCTTCTAAACATGTGGCTGGGCATGCAGCTGGCAGGGTCTGAATTGGGATAGAGGACCTAGTAAGTGGGGGTGGTGCCAGATCCAAGGTGGCGCAGTGCCCAGAGCCACAGCTCAGAAAGCTCCCTGCTGGCTCTCCCTAGTGCTGCCACTGGCCAGTGCCTTGAAGAGGGAGGGATGTTTCCCTGAGTCAGCACAAGGGGTCTTTCAGGGGCTAAGGGGGACATGATTTTAGTCAGGTTTAACAGCTATGTAGATGAAATGTGTATCTTTGACTACCAATAAGTCTCTTCACTGACTGTTTTCTTGCCTGCTCTGTCACTCTTTTATCCCAAGTTTCCTCAGCTTGTGCCTCCAGATGTGCTGGAACTCCAGAATTCCAAACCAGCATGGCTGGAAATTCTGAGTGTTGTAGTCCCAATATTTCTGGAACTGCTAGGTTGAACAAGCCTGCCTGTCTGGGAACTCTGGGAAAAGGGAAATCACAGTTGATGGCAGGCGGGGCACATTTATGGCTTTCAAGCAGATTCTGTAATGCTTTTGTTACTGGAGAGGCCTCTGTTGCTGTGCTCTGAAGGTTTCATCTGTGTGCTAACAGATCCAGGGCTGCTTCATCTGTATCTTATACATCCATGCCTGGTTTTAGGTATCCTCGTAAATGTAACATGTATATTATACAGATACAATATGTTCATGAGGGAGCTAATGTCAACTGCAGCTTTCTGTAACGTGTCGTCTTTCTGGATTGTGCAGAATGTGTGAAGTGATTCTTGGTCCTACAGCAGCATTTGCTCAGTCTCCATGCAACTCTGAAACTGCTAGCACAAGTAGAAGTCTACTCCAAACTGCGTCTCTCAGCCCCCAAACTTCTTGCATTGTCTTTGTGTATATTACTTTGTTTAGTGTCTTAATTGTACCTTAAGGATATTTTGCTTGAAAAGATAGTGGGGAAGTCTTTAAAAAGAAGAGATGATGGAGATGGAAATGGAAATGGAAATGGTCTTTTATGAGTTCCCTAACTCAGTGAGATGTTCAGAAAGAACTGTCAACTGATAGATCAAAAAGATTGATGTGAGATTGAAGGAAGCCCTGAGAACATGATTTAATTGGTTTAATATGGTTTGAGTACTAAAGTTCAGTGGAACTCTGGAGATGGGCCTTGGTATTGTAATCAGCTGTAGTCAAGCTTCAAACACTTTTGCCACCCCCAAAATTGGCAAATTGATGAATATTGGGAGGCAATTTCCTGCTGATTGTGGTGGCAATCCAAAGAAATAAAATGATCAGTTTTTCAATAAGTTTAGTGTATCTAAAGTTGTAAATACATTTTGAAGGAAAAAAAGTAGACTCGCCCACTTGCCTGACCTGATCACCCTACCACCTGCAGCCTCCAGCCACCAAAAATAATTGGGAAAAAGGTGCACTTTTCCAGCTATCAGAATGTTGCTACCCCTAGTGTGAATACCAAGGTCAGCCTGTTGTGTAGTATATATAACTTAGATTAAGCTAAGATTCCTAGGTCAGTAGCCAGCATTCAGAGATTAAAGCACCAATTGCTATTATACTAGACTGTGATAATCTGGAGTCAAGAACAGTTGACATCTAAGAGTCATGCTGAGAGCCCTTGTATCCCAAAGACCTAGAAAGACGGCACACAGTTTCAAAAAGATGCTGAACTGCTTTCAGCCCCAACCACTTGGTCTGCCGCTACCAGTATTTCAGTGTACGACTTTCGCACTGTGCACTGTGGCGAGACCAAGCAGGCATGTGGTGCCTTCTGAAGAAGGCACTGAAACGTCTGGAGCCCCTTCCTATTGTTCGGCCTCCACAGTCCTTAACGCTGATCGTCCCCGTCCGGTCCGCCTCATCGGAGCAGCTCCATCCCGCCTCCCGATTTTCTGCCCCTTCCACCTCCACCCCTTTCCCGCTGGGACAGAGCCATCTCGGCCTTGGGCATCGATTAGCGCTTCCTGTCCAGAAGGGACTTCTCCTTCCATCTTAACCCGCGGCGACGTGTATCCATTCCGTGCAAGACGATCTCGGGGCTCGAAGGCAGGCGGACGAGCTCCTCGGCCGTATCTCGGGTTGGCGTTGGGCCTTGCCTGCCGCCTAGGGAAGCTCGCGGTGACGGGCAAAACCACCCGGGGGAGAAGGAGTTTCGGACTCTGGTCGTGGGAACGTGGGCGCGGCGGAGGGGGCGGCGGCGGCAGGATAT